TGACAACTCTAAATTAGACTTAGTCAATCTATTCAAATCATCATCATAGTTTTTTCGATCAGAACTCCGAGTATTTTCAATCTGTTCAATCTTATATTCAAATTCCTGCGAAATTTGTTCACTCTCCTTCTTTAAGGTTTTGATATAATTCTCATTAAGACAATTTTTAAAATATATATTTCTGGAATGCTCTCTAAGAGTCACAAAACTCTTTTCTRACTCAGCAATCTTCTCTCGCAATTCTTGATTCTCCTTCTTTAGAATATCTGTCATTTTAAAAAAAATATTGATCAGTTAAGGATCTATGCAGTGAAATCAGATAACAGAAATATGAACAGTTAAGCTCAAAAGGAATATAAAAACACAAACACTGAAAACACACACACAAAAACAGATATACAATGATCCAAAAGAAAATCTAMACACAAACAAACTAAGAAACCAAAAACAGTTCAAAACAATTATCCAAGTCCAAAAACACTGATTCTAAGTCCAAAAACAATACAATAGCAACTCTTTACAATACAGATGTGGAACTAAAAAAAATATACTATCTGCTCTCGAAGTTCTATCCAAAATTCACTTGAAGGCTTCTCTTATCGGTTGCTTCACTTGGGCTGCTGTGAAGCTGAATGAAATGACTCCAATGAAGAAATTTGCTTATGTTCCTTCAAAACTGTGTAGCTTCAAAAACTTACTTGACCTTTGTGCAGATAGCTTCTGATTCAGTCCTCAAATCCACAAATATACAATCACAAAACAGAATTAAGATCTGAATAAACTGCTGTTTTAGTCTGCTGTTAAACCAGACCCAAAGTGAAGTTGTTTTAGTCTTACACACACAATAGCAGCACAAAAACAGATTGCTTTCACAAAAACACAGTCCTTGCTGCTGCTGTGATCCAGTCCACAAATTGCAAACCTGTACCTTAAATCTAGCAAACAGCAATGATTGAGGCTGCACCAAACAGCTCACAACAAAGAACTTGCTGCACAATGCTGTCAAGACCTGCTGTTAAAACTGTTGCTGTCTAAAACCATGAACAGCAAATACACAAACAAAATCAAAACAGCCTCAAACTCAAAATCAAAAGAAAATAGCCACAAACTTAGTCCAAATACACAGCTTAAACAGAATATAGCATCAACTTAAACCTGTGAGCTGCAATGAAGCCAATGTTGACTATCAACCCGCTGCTATGAACTTACTGTGGAGCTGCTGTTTAAAAACTTGTACTTGTGGAGCTGCTGATTTGAAAACTGTTGTTTTCAATTCTTGCTGCTGTATAACTTGCTCATGAGCCTAAACCGCACACTTCATGAGTAAACCGAACAATGCATGAAAATAAACCAAACAATGGACGCTGATGAAGAAAARCACATCAAATGCAATACGACTTGAGCTGCTGATTAGTGGACTTCCAGAAATTGATTTGGTTAGTCTGAAGGGCAACATTGAATATATTGGATACTTCAAAAATGTTAAACTGAACACTTAAAATATAAATCTAACACTACTTGAATCTAAACCGGACAATGAATAAAGCTTCTCCGCTCAATGCATGAAAGTTAACCTGACAATGCAAGAAGTTAAATCGGATAACAGGTCTTAAACATCACTCTGCACAAGACTGAAACCTGTTGCTCCAAGATAAATCATACACTGTCATCAACAGCACAGCAGCTTTAATTGCATGAATAAAGTCTGGTTAATACACAAAAGACTCATTACAGCACATGACACAGCAGTCAATACACAGCAGTCAATTAGCTAATCCGTTCACTAAAAAAAGCTTATCCGGTCAATGAAGAAAGCTTATCCGCTGGTTAAATGAGATGAACCTGTCAACAATGATATAAACCGGACGATACTAAATGTAAACCTGTCAGTTCATGAGATAAACTAACATACAATGTTGTCCGGATATGTAATCCGGACAAAAGTCTAGATTAAAGAATCAGCTTTGGACAGCTAAGCAATGAAAAGTTCAAACCTCCGGTGTAATATCCGCTCAACTAAACCTTACAATAAACCTGACATTAAACCTGACAGCACATGAGTTTTAAACCTGTCAACATATTCATGTAATCCAGACAATATGAAGATCAATTAAACCGCTCAAACAATCAACTAAACCGCTCAACAAACACAATTTACACATACATGACAAACAAACTAAGATCAAATCAACAAACAAACACAAAAATTAAAAAAATCATACAAAAATTGGATTAAAATCTGATTTGTTATGAGTTTTCATATGAACACGAAGAACTTCAAGAACAAACAAAACTCATCAAATCTCTAAAAACAATGATCAAAATGTAAAATCACAAGAATAAAAGTGAAACACTATGTTAAAACACACACAACGATCATCATTTTAACAATCAAAAATCCAAAAATGAAGGATTTCAAGAGAAAAAAATCGTTAAAAAATAAGAACACTCAAGAACATAAAAAAAATTCAGAAAAAAAATTCAGAAAAAAAATTTACTTATCTTCAAAGAATCTGATTTCTTTAACCTCTGATTTCTTGCATCCTGCTCTGATACCAATTGTGAGTCCAAAATCACTGATCAATCTTCATAATAGTTCATAACAATGGCAGATCTTGATGTAAATCTTGTAAGAACACAATATGAATTTTAAGAACAATGAGAGAGAAAGTCAAACTTGTAAAGCTCAGTCAAACTCTCTATTTACGTATGAATTATACAAATGAGCTCCTCTCTAATTACAAACACTAACCACTATTTATATGGTCAAACCTACTAACAAAGTCAAAGTCAAACTTCTATAATAAAAGTCAAACACGCTAACTTTTACAATTATAGACTATTTATAAACTTTCAAGACGAATACAATTAATACTGTTTATCATCATGCTAAATGACCTTTTAAGCATAAAATTAAGGGGCCGTTTATCCAAATGCTTACCCGGTAAACGCTTACCAATAAAAGTCAACACTATAATTTATTTTGATGCGTAAGATTTTAGTACATCAAAACATATTGGATGCAACAATTTACTGGGTAAGCGCTTACTTGGGTAAGAGTCATCAACCTCACTTACCGGGTAAGACTCTCCATCCTTCTCATCGCTCTTACCCGGTAAGATTCTTGGCCCTTCTCATGTTCATTCGATGAGAAAATTTATGCGTTAAGCACTTACCAAGTAAGTGTTTAGTAAACGACCCCTAAGACTCTTTAACCTCATTTCTACAATTCACTACGTAAGACCTAAAATTAGCTAAAACCGCAAAGTTTCATACCAAGAGCTTTAACGTGCCTTGATTATAATGGTGATTTCAATTTCAAACAAGTTTGAATCCTTCAATCTTTTCACAATTTCAAGCCTAAAAGAAATTTCAACCCTAAGGATTGAAACATTGACCTAAATAAGAATTTCAACTTGGAAGGGGTAAATATTCAACATATACCTTTGGATTTTTGAGCTTTATTCTTTCAAGCTTCAACTATCTTGATGATTCATTAATTAGAAGAATATGTATGAGGGTTAAATGATTTTCATGAATTTTGGGAATATTTATATTTCCAAATATTCCATTTTAGCCCCTCAAACCTAGTTTCTCTACTTTGTGTTTTAATAGGAATTTAATTTGACATTTTAAGTTTAATTTAGGGAAAAGTCCAAAAAAAACCCAGTAGACTTTACTGTTTGGAACGATTTAGTCCTTAAACAATTTTTTGGAACAAATATATCCTTAGACATTCTAGAACCTGTTAAATAAGTCATTGGACATTACAAAACCTGTTAAATAACTCCTTGGACTTTCTAAAATATGTTAAATACATTTTGTTAGTGGAAAAAGTCCGAAAAAAACCAATGGGCTTTCATATTTTGAACGATCAAGTTCTTAAACATTTTTTGAACGAAAAAGTACTTATATCTATAGCAAACCACTGATTTAACTCTTAAATCAAAGCAAACCCTTTTGCATTTGTCTCCTCATTTCGTAATCATCTTTTGATTTCTAGCTATTTGTCTTCACATCTTCTCTCTTGAACCCTTTCATATATATACATATACATATATACATATACATATATATATATAGAGAGAGAGAGAGAGAGAGATTTGGAGCAAAATTTTACCAAAATCTCCAAAAAAATTAAAATATCATAACTATTGGAGATGCTTTAAATTCTAAGTTCACACTGATTTGGCTTGGTGATAAAAAACTAATTTTGATATTTACTGCTTATTTTGGTTTGGGTTTGTGTCAATCATCCAGAGGGCCGCTACATACCTAACTTGCCTCTTACATGATCATTATGTTGGGATGGGCAATATAGGCCGGCTCGAATTGCCGATTACAAACCCTTTTTGCACAAATGAGGCATGTCCGTTTCCATCTCAAAACCAATCGAAACGAATTATTTTCAAACCAAGCTCAGGGGCAAACTCATCTAACTGAACACAACGTTTATAAACCCAAAATAATGTAGATTTTGTGGCTACATTTTCTCAAGATGAGTTGATTTCTAAAAACTGTAATGAACCCCAATTCGTAGGTTCAGACCAGCTGAAACAAACACAAACTCTGCACAACGATATCAACTAAATAATCATGTTGCAGGTGGCTGAAAAAAAACATCGATCCCTTCATCTTGCAGCGATTCATTCATACAATCCCTCTTCTTCCCAGACATCCACAAGAAAATTCACCATTTCCTGCATGATTTTGGAGTCATAAAAGAGTAATGCAGCAACCAAGATGGTTGATCATGGATATATCTCCCCATGTTGGAATTAGTATAGATTTTGTTGCTAAATTACCATAAAAAGAAATTTGATTCGAGTGATAGTGTTTTTGAACCACCACACTTGGTTTCTCATTGTAAACAAACAATTGGTTTTATGTGAAAATACCGGAAAAACACAATAGTTTACAAAAAAATATCGATTTTGGACAAATCATGTAAGTGAGGGATTTAATGTATGTGCAATGTTTAGTCCAAAATCATTCTTTCTTGCAAAAGATGGCGTGTTTTGCATTTTCATAAGAACGAGTGTGTTTACAACAAAAGTAATTAACTGTTAATCTGAAATTCGTGTTATGAAATTGTTTATAGTCCAGTTTGAAATTAAAGCTTGAAAAATAACTCGTTAAAAAAATATATGCATTCTTTTCTAAGGAAATAGATAATAGGACATACAACACATGAGGATGACTTACCGGTAGAGGAATCGGGCGTGGAAAAGGCTTGTTGGTCCCAAGCAAATTATCATAAGTTGCTTTCCAACTACACAAACATATAACCTTTGCTTTAGCACATAATATTTTAAGAGTTGATAAAGATAAATCAACAGCTTGACATGCACATGAAATTATAACAAGAAACACACATTTGTACCTCGTCGACAGATACCAAAAAGAGCTTACACAAGTTACTAGAAGGTTAATCTCTAAATAAATGTACACTTGTATTAGGTCTCCTTGCCTCCACACAGAAAAGCAGGAAAAATGTGGATGCAATAAGTAGTCTCTATAACACACATTCAGACATTTAGCACAAATATCTCAATCCATCAAATTTCTTCTCAAATTTGGTTGCTTTAGTTCTAGTTTTTTTTTGGCAAGGCATCAATCTGTTCCTATTAAAGTAAATCCTTACCTCGTCACTCCAGGCCTGTGCTTTCAAACTTTGAACAATTTGTGGAAGTCCAAGATCTACCATCTGAGCTTCGAAGCTTCCTTTGGCAAGCAAGTTCTTGAAAATCAAGACTATCAACCTCACAACCTAGCAACCATTGATGAAACACCCCTCAAATGTTAGATCATCATGTTGTAGTATTTTACTTAAATTGGTGCATAACAATCTACTAAAGGCACAAAGGAAGTTGATACTGCAGTAACAGGCATATGATGCATACATTGAGTAGATTGAATAAGCATCGAGAAACAATTAAGCATGGAAATGTGAGATAAAGAAAGAAAAAACAAAGACGAGCTGACCACTAAAAGAACCCAGCTTGAATAAATAGTAATTCAAATAAACTGAACATATATGGAGGGATAAGGGAAGACCTTCTCTTTCGTTGAACATCTGACAAATACTCAATTGCAGGTTCATAGTAGGATAAGAGCCAAACACATAGGCATGTTTCATAGAGAATCTGTTTAACAACAACTGAAGTTAGTAGTACTCTTATACTCTATAATCAAATTGAGATAGAAACATAACTATGAGAAAGGAGGTTTCAAGGTAAAACATATTTCTACCTTGTCCTTGCCCTAGTTGTCAACTACACTACCTACTAACTTATTGGACAAATTTATAATAATCGACATGTTCATAGCTTATGATAAAACTCATCCTCAATCTGAACAAATTTATAATAATCGACAGGATTCATCTTTGATATTGTAGATATTTAAGTTGCACATTAAAATGTAACCATATGATGAACAATGCTGGAACCTGATTAGATCAAACTGCAGCGGACCGGCGATAAGGATGGTGCAACAACAGCGACCAGTGATGGGACGGTGGTGTATGGCGATGATCGGAGACAGGGCTGGGTGCGGTGGCGACGAGCGGCAACAGGGGTGGTGCAGCGAGTACAGGGGTGGTGCGCGGCGATGGGGGTGGTGCGCTGCAACGGGGGTGGTGCAGCATGGACTGGCGGGAGGGAGATGGTGGCATGGGGGGTTAAGCAGTGATGATGTGTGGAGGGTGGGAGACGAGAGGGAGATGGGGAGTTATTAGGGTTTTTTTTAAATTGAAGTTTACCTGATGATCAGGTTACAAGTTACATTTTCAAATAATAAGGATCTATTTAACAAGTTTTAAAAAGTTTAAGGATTTATATAATAGATTCTATAATGTCCAAAGATTTATTTGTTTTAAAAAATTATCCAAGGACTTAATTGTTCCAAACAGTAAAGTCCATTGGGTTTTTCTGGACTTTCCCCTGTAATTTACTTTATTTTGAACGAGTATGGCCTCTTATATGGCCTTGTATCACAAAATTAATCTGAAGTACAAGTCAGTTAAGCATAAGGTACAAAAATATTAGGCACAGTTCCACCCAAAGTTCACTTAACACAACTTGTATGAGTTAATGGAAGACGAGGGTTATATTCAAGTTATCGAAAATGCCAAAAATGTTTCACGTGACTTTCACACGAGGCATTTAACGAAACAAGTTTACGGGTTTCCGTGACATTTTATCCATTAAGCTCTGACTCTAATAAGTTATTTACAAGCATTAATTCGTCTAAATGAATTAAGATAAATTGTTATTTAATTTTTGTCCTGAATAAATAATTTAAATAAGATAAAAAAATATCATTTTAACTTTCTGCCTACGTAAATGTTAAATAAAAATAAACTATTCAATGAATATAAACTATTCAAAATAACATAAATAATATAAGTTCAACGAGTTAATAAAACAATACTTAATAACTTGAAATATATTTAAAACAATTAAATATCACCGGTCGATTACACGTTTTAATTAATATATTTGATGATAAACTATTTATTTTTTAACGAAACATGTGAAAAAGAATTAGTTCAAGGGAAACATGTAAAGTCAATCCTTAGTATTAAGTTAGAACCAAACACGTAAGGGTTGTTTATTTTTAATAAAAAAGCTTTTAATGTCCTCTTAAGCCTGAATCGGTCAGACATAAGATGATTCAGTGTGTTTGTTTTTTTTTCAATTAAGAGCTTAAAAGCTCTTATTAGGTCTGAAATTTAAGTGGTTGTGAAACATCTTATTACCTCTTATTTCAAATCGTCGCCTATCTACTCTGATCTCTTTGCGCTCAATTTCTCTAGATCAACTCTTCTGTCTCGATCTCTCATCTCTCAACTTTGTCAACTGTCGATCCATATCAACTCTCGATCTCTCATCTTCAAACTTCAGATTTCAGATGCAAAAAACAAACAGTCTAACTGATTCAGATTTCAGACTTCAGCACAACCTCTTAAAAATCAGAAGTGAATTCAGACTTCAGACTTCAGACTTCAGCACCTCTTAAAAAACAAACGCCACCTTAATAAAACTTAATCAATTCAACTAACCATTCATTAAGCCTATAAGCCGAAAACTAATATCCTCTTCATGACCCAATTGAACAAAAAACACTTTTTGCAATGAAATCAAAACCTTCACGATGATACTTATAATCGATAAAAACCAAGATTTTAATAAACTTTAAGGACGATCTTGGTACTTTACTCTATATATAGAGATTCGTGATTCCTAACAATATCGTTAGATATCTTTATACATTCAAATAATTAGTTATATCAAACACAAATAAAAAGAAACGGGTACACCTTTGTTACAAAATATCTTTTAGAAGACTAAACAAAAGAATGCCAAATAATTGAAGTGGAATAATGTCTCGTTTGATATGCAGACAATATTGAACTAGACGTGAGCGGGTTAATAAGAATAAGATACGCTGGTGAAAGAATAATTTGAAATTTTAAAGCTTTTATATGACACGACAATTAGCAATTTAATTACCTATCTTGTTTCATCTTCGTGATTTTTTGTTCCACCTATGTTGGTGGTGCATTTTTGTACACTCGATTTTTTCGTATCCTCGTTCAATTCTTATATCAAATATAAGATAACAAAATTTTATTTGGTCCTATTCTATATACCAAACACAACTAAACGGACCTTTTGTTCTCACGTATAACCGTGGCATGTGAACCATTTGAAGCCATTCTCCCTTAAGATTATAAATTGGAGGTTTGTGGGGATTAATTTATTGGCCAAAAAGACAAACACAAGGAAGCTTCGACGAAACATCGGAGCCATTTAAGTACCATCTCGGACCACAAGTAAACATCTCTATATCTATCAATAAAACATAATGCATGGAAAAAAAGTCATATTTTGATTTCATAAAATATTAATGTTTTATAGATATAAAAATAATAAAAAGTAGTAAATAAATGAAAGAATAATTAAACTCATTTCATGTTACGTTTGATTTAAAATATTGATTTTTTTTATAAGATGTTGTCTTAGAATTTTTGAATTTTTATTTTATTATCTATACTATATTATAAAGTATTTGATAAAAAAATTTAAAAATATTTTTTATGTATGAAGTATTGTTTATTGATGCATATTAATTAAAGTTCAAGATTACAAGTAATTTTGCATAAGTGCAATTTATTAAAGCTTCATTTTTAAATTCGTGTAACTAACTGCAAATAAACATAATCAAATACATGACAAAAATTCATTTTAAATATAAAAAATCTAAATTATAATTAAGATAATTATTGAGTTTTAACAGAATGTTCAATTATTATCTTTATAAAAAAATTATATTATTAAACCAAAAATAAATTACTTTATTATTAAATCTAAGTTAACGTATAATAAAAAATTGAATTAAAGAAGTTACACCAGAAAAACAAGAATTATTAAATAGTTAATTTGATACTAATATAGATGTATTTTTTTTTCAAATTTTTATGCTATCTTTAAATTTATATTTCATTCAAAAATAAAAACATTGACGTTTTCACAAAACCACATAAAATCGTATTATATCGATAGAGAAAAATAAAAACTAAACAATAAAATGCAGATTCATTTCCCTGCATTACTCGAGTACCCTTCTAATTATAATAAAAGGGCCCATTATATCTTTTTTTTTTATCTAATTATATTTTTTTTTTTCATCTAAATTTAGTCGACATGACTAATTTGAATAGAAGGAAAACATGATAATGACAATTTAATGAAGAAACTCTTAATATTTCAAGATTTGTGTATGATTTATGTGAACAGATATAAACAATAAAAAATAATAAAGAAAATGAAAGTGAACTCATTTGATGTTATATTAGTGTTGCGTGGATATTAAAAAATATATATTTTATTTTACGTGTTTATTTTTAAATCTATTTTTAAATGAACTATACTGCAAGTTTATATGTAATATTTATAATGATGAAATTACGAGTTCAAAATAATTATTATTGTCAAATTTGGTTTATAAAGATAGGTTTCAAACTTATTTAATTAATATATATTGCTATGAAATATGTTGTATCATGATGAAAATTATTAGTAACAATTATAGTTTAATTATCTACTATTTAGCTTACTATTAAATGATATATTTTATAATGAATGGATATAAAAAATGATATACAGTTGACAAATAAATCAAACCACAATCATGGTAAAAATTATAATTCCAAAATACTATAATGTTACTTATTACTAATGCATTGATTTACGACTATAACAAACATATACATCTTATATTAACAGCTCCTCTTTTTGAATGCATGTATAACAACTATAAGCAAAACAACATTATGGTTTGTGTGGCATGGGATGACTATGTTATTTTTTATTTGTCTATTTCATGCATAAAAATAACAATTATAATGTATTATATGGCGTTTTAGGTTATAAACTTACCAATAATATTCATAAGATAACAAATCCAATAATATGATAACCCGTGATTATGAAACAACCAGAAGTATAATTGTATCTAAAACATTATCAAATGATTATATATTTGATTAACATATGCATAACCTGCTAAAACAAATAATAAAATTCAATAACCAAAGTAACAATAATATTAATAGTGTGAAGTAATATTGTAAATGAGTTTAAATAATGGAAATATCAAAAGATAGCAAGTATCATTTGCATAACTATATGAATTCGACGAC